AATCAAGTATCCCAAAACTTTTACTTCATGTAACTAAGTTCAGGATTTAATATTCATCAATTCAAGATCCCTTGCAGAAAGGACACCAAGGTATTTAAATGCAAGAAAATATAATTGAATATATAGTTGACTACTTACAGTTTTTTGCTTCTCTAGTAACCTCCCCGATGGTTTCGTGTTAACGTAATCGCCTCGAATGTAGAATGTCGTGGATTCAAACACCGGCCGGTTAAAACTAAAGACTTTAGAATTGTTATTTGCTGTTTTCACTGAACACGCGACAGTAAGGAGTAAGCGTAAACACTATTTAGCTCGGAGTTAGAGTGGTCCTCCTCCTCCTCCTCCTCCTCCTCCTCCTCCTCCTCCTCATCATCATCATCATCTTCATCATCATCATCATCATCATCATCATCATCATTATTTAAGGAGAAAGTGGATGGAATTTTGAAACTGGATCATGTGGAAATAATATAGTGATAGGAAGGTAGGTAATGCTAATTTTCTCGGTTCATTTTTTTTTTATCTGACAGACTTCGTCATCAAATATCATGCCATACACATTGAAAAAGTCTGATTGATTATATAACGTTTTATAGAGGATACTTAACTAGACAAAACCAGTATATTGCTTCTGAAGTAGCGCATATACAGTTGATAGATGTTGCAATTTTGTTCATTTATACGAATTTACATACAAAGAAGCTGCTGACGGAGGCAATCAAAATAAAATTTCGACACAGGACCATGACAACAAAACATATGAACGTCACTTCAATACTTAACGCAAAAAGTTAAGAATGAGCAATAGGAACTTAGGAAATCCGGTAAAAATTGTGCTCCTGATTAGCAAGCAGTTACTGCTCACATAGTGGCACCCATGCAGTTACTCTTGATCGATTGAAAAGTTACAAAATCACCCATACAATTAACATAGAATGCAATATATTATTTGAACATTTACAATTGTACATGTTGTAAGAATCACTTTTTAATATCTGATTTTGAAATTGCCTCGAGGACAACGAGATCGCAATGTTGACGATCTGGCGTATGGAAGTAAATTGCAACCTCTGAAGATATAAATTTACAAAGTGTTTTTAATCCTGTATGTAATTACTGAAAAGCTATCTTAATGACTTGAGCATGGTAAATGGTGGTTAAATCTGGGGATTATTTACTTGTTATTAAATCTGACAAAGATCATAACAACAAAAAATAACAAAGTAGATTCATAACATTGATAAAAACTAGATACCACAATTTCACAGAGAATTACAATTCCATGTTTCACAATATGAGACAGATTTTGTATTTCACTTTTCTGACGCTATAAAACAATAGGTAATGTCAAGATATTGTCAACGAAGTTGCATTAAAACAAGGTGAGAACTTGTAGAAAGAATATATATGTTCTAGCATTTTCTATTTGATAAACACTTGAAGTCAGTTTAGTAAAAAGAATAAGTAATTCAAGAATTCAAATCTCAACATGGACATCTTTGCAAATTCAGTAATGCATGTGTGAAGTTTGGAATTTTATTATCTTTCGATTAGAATTTCTATATATGATGCTTGTTTGTAAGAGAGAAAACATGGTTTTATCAATCAACAATTTTTCCTGGAGTCTCATAAATTCAATGGAAAGATAAAACTTCAGTTAAAGCTTCATATATCTTAAAGTAGGTTCTTTTAATATTAAAATGTCTGTCATTGGTTTGGACTATTGTTTGATGAAAGGATCTAACATGTGTTTGATACTAGTCTGCAGGGGGAAATGAATTTCATTATTTCTTTTATTGCACAAATCCTTAAAAGAACTGACTTACAACCAATTTTGTCTGATCTACGTATATACGCCAGCAGTCAAAGCGGCTATCAAAGTTTTGAATGGAAAGTGCATTAGGACATATTAAAAAAAAGCCAAAGAAAATTATTTTTCAAGCAACGACTTTGGAGGTGGATTAAAGTTTATGGTACAGGAATACAATTAGATACTATAAATTTATTTCTTTTATTATTCTTTTTTATACATTCTACCAATGTTTTCGTAAATTGTTGTGACGATGACAGGTTGCTATCGTCGTGGCGTCATCGTGGTCATAGCAAGATGGCTCTCTTAAGACAAACCAAAAACGGAGATGTAATGTCTTATACATGTTTTAGTGCTTCAACGATATGCAATGCATAAATTTAAAAAGAAATGATAATTTGTATTTATATATCATATACAGTCATCCATGTAATATAGACAATTATATATATTTATTGTCGGGGCATTTCTAACATCTTTCAACAGCATAGGTTACACGCTTGAAATGCATACTAATTCAGTTGAAGTTGATTAATAGTTACTGTAGTAACTTGGTCTACATCTTGGAAATTATATTCGCCAAGTAGTTACAATTCTTGAAAGTACTAGTAAAAAATATCAATGGCTAAACTAATACCAACAATTTTTTGATTGATGAATTTCCTTGTTTAGCATATATAGTTGGTACAATCAATATATCTTATACAATCAAATTATGATTTATAAGAAACGATACAAAAATATATAATCAACTTATATGGGAATAAAGATAGTAGCATAACAAATATCGATTTAAATAACTGAACAAGTTCATGGCCAGAATTTTTGTCTCGCCTTGACGGAGTCAAACAGCGAGGTATTTTTTTTCCGACGACGGTGGCGGCGGTGGTGACGGCGGCGAATGGAGTGACGTCAACAATTTGTTACAATATATGATTTGGTCAGTTTAAGGTGAACTATTAATGATAAATCAACAGCTTTATTTGGTATGCAGTTGTATAGGCATTCACACATCTCACTTCCATGGAGATTGTTTGGCCATGCCCCTCAGTCATGGTCCAATGACTTTTGCTTAGTTAACATGTTAAAGTTTGTGATTACGTCAGTTTTACAATATTTAAGGGAAATCACTCATAATAAGTCAATAATATTTCGTATGCAGTTGTAAATTTCATTTTTAGATGTATGTATTTAAACAAATATGAAAATATCAAATTGTAGTTTATTATAATTCATATTACCATAAACCATTTGGATCAAGCGTAGTCGATATGTCATTAACGATTTTTTACCGAAAATAATTTACTTTAAAGTTTCCAAGCTATACAAAATCTCCCACTGATAATAGTTGTAAATGCTTTTATTTTAGCAATAAAGCAACTATTCAATTAATCAAACAAAAAACCGGTTAAAAATGTTTTTGTTACCTATTGTTTTGTCACAAATCAGCGCACTGATTTTTTCATTTAACATGCTGTCATGACGGTTCCTTTTATATTTGACTTTATGGGTTTTCTCATTGTTTATGGATACATATTGTTGATTAAACCCTCATTTGGACTATGTTGAATAGTTATGTCATTTCCAATCATACCTCATCCATCTTATTTTTATACAAATTAACAAAAAACCCCGATTAATAATTTTTTTAACCATGATGAGTCTAAACATGCACCTACAAATGTTTTAAATAAATAAAAGTGGCAGCTTTAAACCCCACCAAAAATCTATAAAGAGAGCCATAATAAACAATTAATTCTTTGATTCTGATTAAATTGCTAAACTTTATAGGACATACTTAAATATATAAGAAAATTATTATCAAACTTTCGTTTTAATGCCATTGTTAAATGATATCCTTTTAAATGATTTAGATAATGGAATGAAAAACTCAAAAAGAACGGCCCTTTTAAAAGACTGTGTCAGATAATTTACACAGACTAACTTAGAAATATACTGATCAAAAATAATATTGGAGTATGGTGAGCTCAAGAACCAACACATCAATTACCAAGTTTTGGTAGGGGTTCATGTTTCTCAATCTTTATTTTTTCTGAGTAGTGTTTTGTGTTCGTGAGTTTTTCGTCTTTCTTCTTTTTTATTTTGCCATAGCATTGTCAGTTGTTCTTCGACTTATGAGTTTTGATTTTCCTTTGATATCGTAAGCCTCCTTTTTAGTAGAGAACATGATAAATATAATAACTTTTGTGAATTAGACTCTTGTATTTAAGTAAAAGCAATTTCTGATTCAGTACGTTAACTTAAACGATTAAAGGCATCTGAATCATTTGAAATTTCTGCTTAAACATTTGTTAAATGGTAAATGCAAACTCTTACAGCCCTGTGTCGATACTGCCGCTGGTGGAATATCAGTTCTCGAGAGTACATCAGCTCAGTAGTCAGTACTTCGGTACATGCAAAGTTTCTAACACACCTGTCTTAAATTATCCCTTTATAAATTTATAAATTATAAAGAAATCGACGTTTCAAATTCCTTTATTTAAGGCAAAAGTGACTTGACTTTTTTTTGTTGTATTGTTGGTAATATATCTCTTCAAAAATATTGGTTCCTATACATCCTTAGCTCTAAAATATTCAGCTTTAAAGTTTTTGATGAATATATTGAAACGCCCTTCGGACACATGAAATCTATTAAGTGTTGTTTTCATTTTTTACATCACTTGGTCGATTCCACTCCTGCTGAACTATCAGTTCCCGATGATATCATCAGCTCAATAGTCAGTACTTCGGTACTGACATGATCATGATGATTGATCCTTTAAAAATTGTCCGTTTAAAAATGTATAAATAATAAAAAAAAAAACTATGGTTTCAACTCCCTCAGACAAACCTTGGATTGATTTGGTTGTTATTTTATGTCTTTTTATGTCAAAAAGCTCTTCAACAGTTTCATTATTAATAAGAAGATGTGGTATGAGTACCAATGAGACAACTCTCCATCCAAGTCGCAATGTATAGAAAGTTAACAATTATAGGTCAAAGTACGGCCTTAAACACGGAGCCTTGTCTCACACCGAACAGCAAGCTATAAAGGGCCCCAAACTGACTAGTGTAAAACTATTCAAACAGGAAAACCAACGGTCTAGTCTATATAAAAAAAAACGAGAAACGAGAAACACCAGACCTATGAATCACACCAACAAACGGCAACCACTGAACAAAAGACTCCTAGCATGTTTTACCTTTTTATTCACTATTAATTAATATGCCGAATGGTATCCCAAAGTAATAAATTTAAAGCGTATGCTACCATTTTTACATTGAAAAGCATTGTGGATAATTTCTTTTAGACGATTTTTCAATTTCACGTGGGAAATGGTGGTATACTGGGTTAAAAAAAATCAAAAGTTTTGGTAGAATTAAAGGATCTTTCTCCATTTCATCTTTTCCAATATGAACAGCTAGGTCTGAAAAGTCTGTAACTGGAAATATCCGCGATTCTAACGATAAGCTTTTAAGCTTTTATTGGTTTTATATATTTTTTTTTAAATTGATAAATCGTTTTATTCAAATTTCCTCTGTTATGTAATATCCCTAATTAACCCACGAAAGCAGATTTAAGGAGACCTGTTTTCTTACATTCTGCATTTGTCGAGGGAAACAAATGGCATATTTCAATGATAACAAAATCTAAAAAAAATTAAAATTAAATTTTACTCCAATATATCACCTTTTCCAACACATTTGAAATAGATACATAATTGATTTATCCAAATTTAAATACTTCGTGTTACGCTTAAAAACTCAAGTGTAAATCACAACAGATCAATATAAGCAAACCCCACCGTTCAAAGGATTACTAGCACGTGCACGTGTATCATAGAAAAGTGTAATTGTTTTTTTCTAAATAATTTTATAGACTTAGAATATAGCAAAGTACTCTCGACCAATGAAATTGTAGAATTGGATGCCTCTTAATTGTGAAGAATGAATGTAAATCAGGTTCTTAGTAAGGGATTATCCTATTATTTGGGTCTATTTTCAGTTCAAAACAAAGAGTTTCTATAAATGAGTTACAACTGCCCCGAAGCACATTTATCAGATTGAAAGGATTTATCACACAGTGATTGAAACTGACTAAAAGTTGAATTGTGAAACAAACAAAAATCTCAAAACAATTTGAAGTTTACTGGTGCAGTAAAATTGGTACCGTGAATTTTATTATGAAAATATTAATAACTTCAAATTACTATAAAATCAAACAATACCAAAGCAATGCAAAAAAAAAAAGAAAAAAAAATCTTTCAGATAAAAAATAACCTAAATCGTTTAGCTTTCCAAAACTTTGATTACTTGATCAGCGGTTGGGAAGAATAGTTATTTCCAATACATGTATTCCGAAAAAAAAACAGGAATTTAATTTTGAACATATTAAAAACTTTTAAGGGCATTAATTTTTGAACATTACCCTGACATAATGAAACAGTATTTGATGTAAAAAGCCGGACCAAATTATTGGCTGTGAAATAAAATTTAGTTGTAACTCAAATATATTAATTGATTTAAACTGTAAATAAAAAAGGATAATTCCTCACTAAAATATTACATGATTTACATTCATACTCACAATCAGGAAACATACAATTCCTACCTTTTCTTTCTACTGTTGTGTCACCTAATATCTATTACGCATTTTAAAAAAAAAAATATTTCCCAAATGATAAGAAAGTCCTCACATCACTAAAACTTATCCATAAATGACATGCCGAAAAAGGATTTCATGCATCAATTATAAACATTGCACTGACAATGAAACTACTTCTTGAAGAGATCATTTGAGCCTTGAGCACTTTATAATATTCTAAGTTTGTAAGAGAATGATAATCCCTTACTTCATGATAAGTACTCGCTAACGCTCGTACTTATTCATGAAGAAAGGGATTATCATTCTCTTACATATACATGGATTATCTGCAAATATACAACAATAGAAAGCGTGAGGATTATATTCTTCAGGATTATAGATATCAATGTGCTGCTAGTGGTGAGTATTTATAGTAAATTATGGACATATGTAACCGTAAGTGCAATAATAAAAATTAGTAGTATATAGTTTTTTTATAAATAGATAAATTAAGATAAGGTTAATACGAGCTGAACTAATTAATCAATCAGGGTTAAGAGCCAAATAATAAGTCATTAGAATAACGAAAAATTATACATTGAATATATAAAGTATAAACAAATACAAAATTATAAGAGTATAGTTAGTTAAAAGTTAAAACATTAACTATGTTCGTAAAACGACAGTTTTTTATGTTTACCATTCGAAATATTTTCGTATATAATTTGATTCCTTAAGAATAAGTTTCACAATATTTTGTTTTGTCGTGTTTTTCTTTTTGTACTTTTGAACGCTCCTTTTTTCCAAATTAAAATGTTTCTTGTTTACAAGACCGTATTTACAATTACATTCAATCCACGCGATTCATTTACAACACCTAAAATATTTGATTCCTCAGATTTTTGTTTTATAGTTTTGCAATAATTGATTTTCTCAAAATGACTAACCATACATCATTTATATGTGTACAATTCGCAAAAAAAAAAACACAAGTTTTTTTGGCTTTTCTCATAAAAGTGTAAAATTAATTTGTAAAACTTTCCATAACATGCCAAATTATTTCTCTTTGATAATGTATATGCCATTTTAGTTCACATGATCGCCCCGAATTGTTGCGTAATGTTGTCTGTATATCTTTTAACAAAAGATAACGATTTTTAACAGGTGCTCCCCTTTTCAAGATGATACATGGTTCTGAGATGGAGAATAATTACTGTTTTTTTAACAATTATTTTGTTTTAAAATATAGTTAAAGTACAATGATATGGATGATTTTATTTTAGCAAATTCCGATATCCAGGTTCTTCTATCTAACAATTTATTGAACACAAAAGCACTATTTCTAAAAGCATTTTCGTTTTCCTCCCACATATTTTGTGTCGACTTTTTGCAAAGCTTAAAACATATAATTTCCCTCTATTCCTAAACAAAGGTTGACTTTGTACTTCATCCTATGATTGATGTTTTAGTTTTGGTATCTTGCAACTTAAATAACTAAATAATAATAAGTAATAAGATGAGATGCAATTGAAATAATGAAGACATTTATGCGTTTATATACATTTCATATAGTTTGTAATCACAATTTAACATGTAAAATTAGGCAACGAACATTAAACGTTTGAATGGACATTTTTGTTATTACATTATTTTAAATGTCTTGAAAAACATAGATTTTTCAGAAGTGTAGTAAAAAAAATATGTATTTTTAACGAAATAAATCTTGTTTGCGTATGTTACTGAAAACAATGATGTTATTTTATAATGTTGAACAACATTTGTTTTTCTATAGAGAAAGAAACCAATGCCACCGCTTTTTCCCCAAAAAAATAAGGATCGGTGATTTATGCGATATGACTTCCTCAACAGCTCTACAAGCATTTAAGAAGATAAAACATAGCTTCAAGTACGCATGATTTCTTTGGAGGCGAAACTTCTCCCTTTAACAAATCAATTTCGAAGTCCATGACTGCAAAAACATTTTCAACTGGTTCCTTTTGTATCTGTTGTATCAAGTTTGAATCAATTGTTATAGATGTCTGATTATTCATAGCTGCTATAATCTGAAATAGTTGCAAACATATTAATGTTCAGATACATATTTGAATGATTATTTTACTTCATTAAGCATTTTAAGTATGATACAAAATAAAGTGTGCATACAGATCTTACGGATATTAAAAAAAATTATTAGGCTGTCCGAATAATAATAAAATTTCAACCTTTATACGAAAACAATGAAAAAAATGACAAACGAAGTGACACTAAGTGAGTGTCATCCTTCCGAAGCACTTTTCCGGATTTACTTTCATCAGGAACCTCAAACCAAAACAATTGAAAGCCAGTGATGCATAAATACCCGAACACGTGTGGAGCTATCTGACCAAAAGGGACATTAATTAAAAAACAACGCCAAATTAATCTCATTTAAAAATATATCTTACTATTTAGGCATAAGCAACAGCCTAACACGCCTCCAAGAATGTAATCTATGTCAGGTAATTTGGTGTACTGATTGATCTTGGCGAGTAAAAGAAGGCTGCTACAAAAAATTGTTAATCACAAAAAGTTTTACTTTCGTTTATTTTTTAGATTTTGTTGTGACCTCACTACAAGAGAGTTTATAATCATTTTTGAACGTGTTGAATCGAGTCACTTAAAACCTATAAACTAAACTTAGACTTCCTTGGTGATGATTTTGACATCAAAATAATTTCTTGGAATTTCGGGCATTTCTTTGTTTTGAAGGAAGGAAAAAAGAAAGAAAAAGGGTCAGTACAGTCAGTACACCAAATCATTAAACAACTGTTATGACAAAGGATTCATTAACAAATGGGAAACATAACAAAAAACTAAATAGACATCTTTCTATCATATCACGTGTTATACACGTGCTCCATGATACTGTATTGTTTATCAAGGTCACGATCGACAGATTTTGGACCGAACACCCGAAAATTAGTTAGCAGCCAAAGTTTTCGATCAACTATCACCCCATCAACTATGTGTCTATGATACCTAATGGATCCGCAATAAATTTAAAAGAACCGTCCATAGATAACTTAGTTAAGCAGATATGCATGTTTTGGTCCAATAACTTCCGTGACATGACAATCAACAGAAAGTCGTTTCATATGACTTTAACTTTCTGAAATACATGCATAACTGTACACTTCTATCTTTTTAGCATGGTGTTTATGACAAAAGTAGTACATACAATACGTAAGATTTCTTTCTTCTGGTAGGCATCACATTTTCTGATAATTTCTAGGTCTTCAACATCAAACAATGACAAAGACTCCAACACCGCTGGCATTAACTTGCAGAATGGCCCGTCAGACGTTATAACAATGTTATTGTCCTATAATATACACTGTCAGGTTAACATTGAGTCAAACACCATGTTTTAGGTTTTGTTGTTATCAACAATAATATTGCACAGACAAGGGATTTGATAGTTTATATATAGTAAGGTCAGTCAAATAGTTGGACAACGTTTACAAGTTTGTTTTTAATTTTTTTCATCTTAACATCCACGTGCAGGTGCATGTCTGATAGGCCCTATACACCAGCTTTCACTTCTTTCTAAGAAAAAATCGACAAATTATTATAAGTCTTCACTGCTATAGAAGAAACCTAATTTGTTGACACAGAATATGTTTAGCCTGCATTTGCCACAAAACTAAAAGAACAAATTGAATATAGTGTCTTTTTAGTGTCAAGTCAGGAATATGACAATTGTTTTCCATTCGTTTGATGTGTTTGGGCTTTCGATTTTGTCATTTGATAAGGGACTGTCTCATTTGAATTTTCCTTGGAGCTCTGTATTTTTGTCATTTTACTTTTTATTGCCTGTTGATATAAAGTGTTTAAATACTGTTAAATCTTATCTTCAGTCTCATTATTCTTCATTTCTAACTAATGATTATCAAATTGGTTAGATGGTGAGTAAAACAACTATAAGACTTCCAATACTCTTTCAATTGTGATTATTCTAAATAAAATTAAAAAAAAACGCCAGAATTTGAATCAAAATAACACCTTAACAATGTCAAACTCAAAAGTCTATAAAATATGACTAAGAAAGGAGCCGTCAATTCTACTTGATACTGAAACCAAAGAATACTTATCCAAAGAGCCAACATCGCACCAATGGTTAAGTAAATATACTACTTCTTCACAAACACATTCAAAGAAAAAAATTTAAATATGTAAAAAAAATCCCAATGTTAAAGAGGCATGCATCTCCTTCAAATAAAATGCAGGGATGATAATGCAAATGCAGACCAAATATCAATGGCCTGGTTTAACATTTTCATTAAACATATATTTAATCAGGAAACTAAATATCTGAATTATATAGAAAATACAAAGTCGTGAAACTTGAGTATTGGGGCGATGCTTAATATTAAAGTGTAAATATGCTGAAAAACCGTATGTAATACATGTATACCATTGACATATTGAATATTTCGCTATATGCAAATTTTATACGTAAATCTAACATTTGATCAATGTGATAATTCCAATACGTCCGAAACATGTCCAGTTGGCTGATCATTACATTTTTCAACAAAACTGGAGTGCACGTACGCTAATAAATAAAATCTCATTGACTAATATCATACACGTTTCTATTAGGAAGGCACCTGATAAGAAAACATATGACATCGTAAAGTCACTGAAACATTATCTGGGACTGGGTCTCATTCACTGCATGTAATTGAAATCCATGAACATTGATTTAGATGAATACCAAATTTCAATGATGTACCATAGGCGTTTTACTTCAAAATATAAAAATCAATCATTATGTGTTGACATTTATGTCGACAGCAAAAAAACAAAAAAAAACATTTCTCCCTCCGCGATATAAGTCAAAGGGCAAAACAAGAATTATCGAAATGCAACAATAATCGATAAATTATCTTTATATAATTTTTATCAGCCAATCGAACACTATTGTCTCCTCTAACATGGCCTTGAAGAACTTATAAATATGTATAAATATGTCACGTATGAATAGAATTCATTTTGATTGAAAAAAAGCTAAGTACTTACTTGAAGTTTATAACCAATAAGTTCTAAAAGTGACCAGCATGCGTCACTGTTTTGCAACTGATTTCTAAATGCCTGTAGATCACCATCCATATCGTCACACTGTATGAATATACTTATAAAAGTTAAATAGGATTTCCAGACAATAATCAGAATAAAAATATTCAAAACATTAGAAATTACTTTTTCGTGTACTTTTGAATTTTCTAGAGTTTTCAGAGTTTACCAGAAAAAAGAACAGTACCAAGATAATAACAACCACTGGGATGAATATTGCTTCAATGTAACCTTCAGTTTTCGCGAATAAATGATATACAATAATATTTGTTACAAGCAGTAAACAATTTGGTTTTTGAGAATATGACAGACAATAAACGAATAATATCTATAAAAGCACCTTTCCAGGAATTTCTTTATGAACATAATGAAAAATGAAACTTTTAATTATAAAGTTGCTTCCATTTAGCTTAATTTTATCAGACTTTTTAATCATGACTTATTAGACTGTCACAACATAATTGTGTTGCAGATATACACCAACATTACATTTGTCTTAGACATCATCCTGTCGTTTTTCCTCCATTACGACTTGCCATCAAATAAAACGTATTACCGGTTCTCGGGTTGTATTTGTCATGTATAATCAGACACGTACCACTAACGTATTCTTAATTTTTTTGATCATCAATGTTATTGGTATGTCGAGATTGTAAAGATTTGAACATTAAAAGCATGTTTTGTTCTTTCAGGTTTTTTGCGTTACCGTGAAGTTGTCAATATTACGATATACATATTCCCGCCGTACGCTTTAGTTGGATAAACATTAAGTATGTACCAGATCTAATAGAGCTTGTATATCACTGGAACTGTTCATAACATTACAAACTGCAGTCCTAAACTCTGAGATAATATCTTCGCCAACACAGTTTAGATCAGACAGTCTCCATTTTATGTTTTTGAAAACCTCGATTACGTCTCCTTCCGGTTCTGGAAGAACTGCAGCCTGTAATACCACTGGGATGTTAAAAGCTGAAACGAATGTATCTTGAACTTATAAAATGCAGTTTCAACATATGTTATACATGTAATAACAGATGATGCTTGTGATTTTTGATTTTTTTGTATATCATGTGTTTGTGCTGTATTTCTGTCATGTAGTGTTTTAGCGATAACTTTTTAACATTGCCATATAGCTGGAGGTTTGACATGCCATGAAACCAGGTTTAACCCACCATGTTTTCTTAAAATGTCCTGTACCAAGTCAGGAATATGGCAGTTGTTATCAAATAGTTCGTTTCTATGTGTGTTGGCGTTTGTTTTTGTTGCACTTCTGTGTTCTTGTTATTCTTTTGTTTTCCTCTTATAGTTGATGTGTTTCACTCGGTTTTGGTTTGTTTTCTCTCAATCATTTTATGACTTTTGAACAGGGTATACTACTGTTGCATTTATTCTATCCAAAATACAATTATTTATAGGATTTAGCTACATGCCATTCTTATATTCATTAAATTGCTATAGAACGTTGAAAATTAATCATTTGAACGCTTTTTACCATCATGAAAGACCAGATAAAAACCATGACTTATCAGTCGAGTTTCTGGATATGTAACTCTATAAACTAGGAGTAATGATGGCATTTAGACAAATCTCATGAACGTTTCAGCAATATTAAGGTTCATTGGGTAATCTCCTTTGTACATGGTGCTAATTAGATCTAGAAGTAGAAAGGACATAAGAGATAGTTAATATGGTACCTAAGACAGCAGAACGGAGGGACTGATCATCATGGATAGAGGGAAAGAATCGACATTGAATAAAAAAGACTAAAACAAATATTTTTTGTCAATCCGAATTTTATCAGATGGATTGTCTATTTAAATTTTGTATGTATGATTTTTATTTTTTTATTTTTTTTGCAAATTAGTATTTATTATTGATATGGAAGCTGGGGCGATAAACTCACAAACATGTAAAGTTTGTGAGTCAGCGAACCAGTTTACACATCAATGACATCTGGAAAAAAATGTGTTTAATCCTTATGATTCTTAACCCAAACACTAACAATCATGAGTGTTCATGCATATGACGTCATGTTTTGCCACAAAGTTAATACGCAAAGATCATTCATGAAATTTTGCGAAATTTATTCTAATCTTTTATTCATTTTCCGAGCTTAAGTGCATTATTTTTTATGAAAAGTTAGAATAAAAATAACAGTTACATATTTTTTTTTTCTATCCCAATTTGCTTGGAACCCCGATATATCACAGTGAATGTTAAGAAAGCAGTTTCCGTAACTTGGTCTATCGAAGTATAAACCAAGGATAAAAGTTCTAATGGACCAATCCAATATTTACAGATATGCAATCATTTAAGAATTATATTTATATGTAAAGCCGACATTTGTCATTAGCATGTGCACGATACTTTGCCTTAAAGTGATTTTTGTTTCCTTTTTCTCGCGCAAGTATTTACTAATCACGTGTTAGATAATATCGGCCGACAAAGCAGTCAATAATATGGTGGTGGTATAACATAAATACTACAAGGAAGTTCTTAAGAATGAAATTATAAATTCTTTTGCATTCATGTCCGTGCACTCAACAGAGGGGCATATAGTAAATTATCATATCACTACCACCCTCAGCTTAAGGCCTTTCTGAACATTTGAAAGTCCTTTCTATGTATTTTTGTTTCCTATACTACTACAGAAAACGTAAATCGTTTCATCTTGGGCTCTAGTAAGGGTTGTGAAACTAACCTTTTGGTGCTTTTAAATAGTTCTATGACTGCTACCAAAGAACGTATCACTTACCTTTGTAATAAAGCCTATGAAAACAGTGGAATTATCTATTGTTGGAATGTAAAAACTCTTTACACTACACTTCCACACAATCTTATCAAACAAAAGTTTACCTATTTCTTTAAATGGTTGTTTGAAAAATCTGTAACTCATATAAATCGATTGAGAAAGGTAATTTATGCTAGATATACTTATAAGTATGATGTAAGATTAAAGCTGTAAATTTTTTCTTTGACAACATTTATAAACGTTTTGACAATAAAATTCATTGACAGGTAGTAGGTGTTTCTAGGGGCACCAATTACGTCCCATTTATATCAGACTTGTCTCTTTACTGTTATGAACCACAGTTTATTGCCAAACTCAGTACAGACCCGATTTAATTCATTAAATTGATAAATTGAACAACATTTATCGTTATCTTGATGATATTTTGTCGTTGAATAGTCAAGAATTCTCTAAATAAAATGCCGACCCAAAGGACCTTACTTAACATCTTAAAATATAAATCAAATATAAACAGCAACAACTGTCTTTTCCTAAATGCAGATATTTCAGTTTTACACTCTACACAAACATTTACGACAAAAGGGGACGATTTTTTGTTCTCAATTGTTTATTTTCATGTTTTTGGACGAGAATGTTCCTTTAGCACCATCTTACGATGTTTATGTATCCAACTTGTTCGCTATGCACGTGTCTGTTGTGACGTTTTAGATTTCAGTGAACGTAATCTGTGTATTATTGGTAAATTATTAAGTCAAGGATTACGTTTTTACAAATTACTTTAAACCTTTACTAAATTCTTCTTGATTTGGTATGAAAGTTTTGCTGTATGAAAATTTATTACAAACGGGATAGCACATCCTTATTTTTACGGTGATGTTGTTTCCCTAGCCCGTAAATTTAGATGCGATCCGTGTAAAGTTATCGATCCTTCAAATAAATTTATTCTAAAAGGTAACCAATTCAACACTATTATTAGATCTTCGAATATTGTTTTTCATTGATAGAAATATTGATTTTGTTATCAATGAACTTAAATCTAACTAAATGATACTATTATACACATATGTACATTCACAGTCCTACAATCTGTCAATACCTATATTTTTGCATTGCGCATGTAATAATTTTTTTTGTGACTGTTTTAACGTCTTTACACTGAATCCATTGGATGTTGGATGTTTGCTGATTGAAATTTTAGTCTTAGATGCATGGTTTTTTTATATTAGCTGTTATTGGCTTTAAACTACGTTTTAGTAACTGCGAGTACCCTCATATATGTACTCTTGTTTTTGTGCTTTGTATCAACCCCACGAGTTAAGCCCTTTTCAACTGATTTTTAATTTTCAGGTCATAATGGACGAACTGTTTTTAACTAATAGAACACATTTTAATAAAATTAAGCAAGTGACATTTTTCAAAAAGACTCTTAGTAAAGGACTTTAATGCATCCACCTAACACACGGTTAAATTATATATCATTCGAAAGCTTATTATCTGTACTTATTGTTTTGTCCGGTCGTAAAAACATCGGACGGTGCAGTTTTCGTTAAATCAAGGTGCAAGGTCAAGAAAGAACATTGCACATTTTTGCTATAGAATTAAACAAAATTTAATTTTTCTTTTTCTTTTCGGATAAAAAAGTTTCAAAATATAATATGCAAAATATAGAAAAGAATACAATAATTCAAAATCATACAAAAATCAAGACGTCATTTGCACAACATTTACAGAAAATTGCTATCTTTAAAAAATCTTCCACAAATAAAAAAAAAATGCTCTAAAAGCAAAATATCTTATGAGGATCGATATTTATATGGTTTGAAACAAATGAATTTATAGTTTTTATGTTAACGTTTTTTTTTTGTTTTTTTTACATAGTTTTAAATTGCAATTAATGTATCTTTCTCTGGAAACAGCCTTCTATTTAAAGGTTTTCAGTTGCCAAAAATACCGCCATCTGCGAATGGTGATAATTTTGCTTTTCTATGCTTAAAAAGCACATTGACACTACTGTCAATATCAGGAAGACAATACTTTTCCATAACACAAGGATGAAATTTAACGTCCGATAAGAAATATACAAGCAAAATACTTCAAAGTATTTTTTTCATTTGAAGTCGAACTGAATGACTAAATAAATGAGCTAGAAACACAGATGGTGTTTTATATTTAAAAAATGATGGACGTGTTAAGATGTTTATTCCTATTAAATATTCGAATTAATATGTTCTAAAAGTGGGAACGATCTGGTGTGCGCAGGAAGGGTGTTCGAGTTTCCACTGTATTAATTTGAAGTAATATTTAATAAAACAATTACTAATATTTTTTAACAGAGTAAGGTAGAAAACAGTATTTATTTTAATATTGAACCGGTAGTGGTAGTTTGTACACTTCGGTAAAGAATTTGTGGACTGCTGTCTGTCTGTTTGACTTTTTTATTTTGTTCATGATTTTGTCATACTTTCTTGATTCATAATTTGAGATTGTTCCATTGGTATCCTTTTTCTTTTGATGACATTTATTGCAGTTATGAGGAAATAGCAATTTTACTCATGTTTCAAGTTTTAGGGATCTTATTTTCAGTGTAAAAAAATCCAGTCTGGCATGCGATTTATGTACGCGACTTTTATAAATAGAAAAATTAAGGGAAATAAATAATCTTAAATTTTCTTGAACATGAAAAATAAAAAGACCTCTGAGAAAACAAAAATCGCTACAAAGACAACAAAAAAGTCACAAAGAACAAAAAACTATCCGCGAACATAAGTTTGAAAAACTCACAAAAGATACCAAGCTTATGATGTTGTTTACCATACGCACATTTCGTCTATAAAACACTCATCAGTGATGCTCAAGTTAAAACAAAAGTTAAATTAAGTACAAAATTGAAGAGCATTAGGGACCCAAAATTTATTATTTTTTTTGGTTTCGTTGACATACAAACAATTTGAAATCATGATAATTCAACAACACTTTTTAAATCCTCACAACTGTCTAAATATTTACCTTACATTGGACTTAGGTGTAATAGAAAAAAAACCAAAGGGTATGGGGTATCCATCAGGTCAGGAATAACCACCAATTGGTGGATTATACCTCAATTGACGTATAATCCACCAATTGACATATAATTGTATAGACCAATTGACGTAAAATTCTTTGTTTTTCAAAGCAAATTATTCAACCAAAATGGAGCATTGTTTACTTAAAACCATATTATTGTATGAAAACATGTCAAACATTCCTAGTTTAGTATAGTGACATAACATATTGCATTTAATCAATAATTGTATTTGCAGTTTCTTCTATTGTTATCTTGTCAATTCTTGATTGGCAAATTTACCACTAATCACCTGTCAATGGACATCAATACTGTCTGCAGTCATGTGATTATGAGTACAACTCCACAGGTGAATGGAGCTCTTTGTTAATACTTGACTTTCATTATTAAAAGTCAATCATGGTCAATAGTACAGATGTTTCAACAAAAGAATTGTTGTACACATGCATTCTCAAGAAATGCAGCAGGCTTTGACAAACCTGAAACTTTCGGAGGACTCAATAATGGTCATAAAATAGGTTGTAAGTTTCAAAATTATGCTCCTATCTCACACTAGCATTTTATAACAAAAAAACTTGCATTATACGTCAATTGGTCTATACCAGTATATGTCAATTGGTGGATTATACGTCAACTGAGGTATAATCCACCAATTGGTGGTTATTCCTGACCTGTCCATCCATGGAACAAAGTCAGTACATGCCCAGCAAAAAGCAAAGAAACAGCGCTTTTATTGCTGTTCTTCATCTAAAATTCACAGTGAGGCCTTATAAATGGAGAAACACAACTCTTACCTTACTGCAAGTTTAAGACAGTCCTATCACCGGCTTGAACATAATTCTTTCGCAAAAATGATTTGGATAGACTTTGTAAGATGTAACTTAACCAAATCGGGTCCGGTAAAAAAGTAGCAATATGTATGTCCTGTGTGCCCATATTTCATCATGTGATATGCAAATGTGCATTTAATTAGAAACATAAGTCACCTAATACTAAAGCAGTTCTCTGATTTCCTGAAAACCTTTGATGAGAATATCATGTAGCATCTGCCAAAAAGTTTTAATGCAAAACTATAGAAAGTAAATTTTGGCTCGCAGTCTATCTTCAATCAAAAGTTTTGTTTATGCAAATTGAATTGCTATATGCAGTTCTACTAAACAACAACATCAAAAGTACTGTTTAGTTTTACAGTAGACCTTCATTTACAAAATGTTTTTGATGTTGAATTGGTCATGTTGGTGGTATGACACTTACACAGTTATATTCGTCCTTATACTACAAATAATTTAGCCATTTAGGAAGTAAATCTAGGATTATAGGCTAGAACTATTGCAAATATCTATCATTTTTAAACCAAAAGTTAGTAAAATATCCGTTTTTTCTAAAGTTGATGCTATCAAATCATTTCTTGATTTATCTTCATCGTGAATGCTGGAAAACTAAATTATGAATACAACTTGTGTGTTGCTTTTTTTTTTCTTTTTTTTTTTTTGCCTGTGCACAACTTTTTTAATTTGTATATGAGAAGTCTTTTATGCTTAACTTTTCATCAAAAAAGTAAAATAACAAAAAAAAAACAAACTCGAAGGAAATTTCAAAACGGAAAGTCCCTTACCAAATAGCGAAATCAAAAGCTCAAACACATCAAAATGAAATGGAAAACAACTGTCATATTTCTGACGTGGTACAGGCATTTCCATATGTAGAAAATGATGGATTAAATCTGGTTTTATAGATAGCTTAGCCTCTCACTTGTATAACAGTCGCATATAATCCAATTATATTGACAACATTGTGTGAGCTAAATAAACAGACTTGATAGGTAATGATATCAAAAATAGGGGTACAGCTGTTAACATTGTGTTATAATCTTTCTCACTATAAAAACAAACAGCTATGTCAACAACAAAACAAAATGACATATAGACACTCTATACACAAAACAAATAAGCAAAAATGAAAGACAAGAACAGAACAAATTACCATAACACAATACTACAATACTGAACCACGCCAAAAGGATATTACCAAAAATGGACTAAACAGTAAAGGTCAAAAATCTACAAAGACAAAAAAAAAGAACACTATAACACGTAAATAAGATGATAAACAACGTAAGTACCTATAATCTATACTTTAAGACCATCATGTATTATTTGTGAAGTTGATACTGAATATTTATCACCCAGTTCTTAGTATCTTCCGATGAAGTTTTTAGAAAAAGGATTACAAGTTCTTTGACTTAACCCTGGTTCTTCAACTTTCTACTCAGACATTGGTGAAGTTTTATAAGTCTGAGCAGCAGCTGCAAGCTCGTGGATACCGAATAAGTTGGAAAATATATATCCCATGTGCAGGTAAAGTTGGTATACTGCTGCTAAGGTTGGGGAAATTTATAATTTCAAAATTAAAATCGTCTCGTTTGTCATAGATTCTGAATGGAAAGAACATCATCAATATATTTGAATGTGAAATCAAATAACATGACTTCTTTAATCTTCTTGTATTGACAAGTGTCTGAATGAACTCCGATTCATATGAAAATAAGGTTGGCAAGGAGAGGCGCACAGTTCGTTCCCATATGAATGCCGACAATTTGTTGAAAAAGTATACCTCAAAATTCAACAAATATATTGTCAATAAGAAACTCCAGTATACTGATCAATTGTTTCTCGATGTAGCATGTTTTACCTTTCTGTTCACTGTTAAAAAATATGCCGTATGGTATCCCAAAGCAATAAATTTATAGCGTGTGCTACATTATAATTAAGTTATATTTTTTATTCATTTGCGCATATATTCTTTATTTTTTTTTATTGTTGTTATTTTTAGATACATGTAAACACAGTCTTTTTCCAAGATATATACACGAATGTGTATAATGAAGTATAAGAAAAGTCGAATGACAGACTAGCAGTTAAAAGAAAAATATTGAACTTTTAGTTTTGCTCCTAAATTCACACCAAGAGTTTGGTGCCCGCTTGTATTATTTCCTTTAAATGTTTTAACTTTTTTCTGAATTGTCTTTCATCAACCTAATATTGATCACATACAAGGTTTTAACGTAATATAGCTAAATAGATGTTTTCTCAGATGGCAGTATTTTGGGCATTTGTATGAGTTTTTTTTTTGCATTAACTGTGATCACAGTAAATTGATGTCAAAACACATTTAGTACTGTTATCTTATTTGGTTTAAGGTCATTAAGAGTTGAATAACAAAGACATAGTTAGTGACAATTAATATCTCTCCTAAAAGTTTTTCTGATTTGCATACATTATTTTAATATACAAAAGACATAATCTGACATTTTAAAAAATATGAAAGTGTTCGTCCTTAACCTTTGATCTTGATTTCAGGGAAATTTCACGATACAATTTTTGAACAACTTGTCAAAACAGAAAGTACAGATGATAAGCTTTCGAATGATGGTGCATTAGAAATACAATTTTATGGTACATGTCACTTTACTAAATATCATAAAACACGAAATGCAGGTCACTTTAAATTTGAATTTAGATTTTTTTTGTCATCTTCTGTTAAAGATTTTTTTGCGAGCGATGGCATCTGTAATCAAAAGATTCTAGTTAGGTTGATTGACCGTTATATAATATCTGTGTCACAGATAACCACAGATAACAACTGATATGTTTCTATTATTACAACCAGAATCCCGTTCTCTTTTTCCCGATTGTGATTTCACCGAATGATCTTAATCACTAGATTTATACTCACATGAGCAGCACGACGGGTAGCACATTTTGAGTAGGAATTGCTTATCTTTTTGAAGCAACTGAGTTCACACCCAATTTGTATGGGAATTATGTTGCTCAGTCTTTAGTTTTTTATGAAGTGGCAGCCGTAAGCTGTTAAAGAAGTTTCATGTACAGCCGTGTGCCAATTTTATGTAAAAAATCTTTAAGACAACCATATACGTGGGTTATGTATATATACTGTAGTCAGGCTAAGTATTCAGTGGTTGACTTCCGCAATTATCCTTTTCTTTAGTCAAACACATTAAAGGACAAAGAAGCCACTTTTGGGTGCATTGAATTCGAAAATGCGAAAATAGTTATAAATCTGACAAATAAATGAGGGATGTTACTGTCAGTGGTCCATCACAAAATTGTTTGACTTTCAGTTTTAATTTTTTGGAGAAAAAAAAACAATTGCATTTGTTGCGTCTAGTCATTTTTTTTAAATATTTTTTTGTAAAAAGGTCAACTTGATAATTGAAAATGATGAATATGCAAATTGCATGAAAAATTAACATCCAAACATAAAATTAGTGCTTACAATCATTTGAACGCCTAGAGAGCTGATAATCTGGAAAAATTTCCCCGGTAGTTTTGTCAACATTCATAAGTTGCCATTGACATGCCAAAACAGTTCCTGCATCCAATGTCAGTGTTCCGGTTTTACTACTACTTACATCAACGTTGAGAGAACCGCCCTGTGTCCCAATCTGTAATCAAATCAATGTTTAATGGAAACTGGGAATAAGTGCCGGATATATTGGAAATTTTACAGTATTTATTTTTAACTAAACAATTTCGAGAAAAGCAAGATGTTTAATTATTACAAGGTTGAAAGTATAAGCTTCGCTAAGAGTTCAAACTGATATTTGTGTACACTTTTGATTTTTCATCTGTAGTAAAACTATTTTTATATTTAGATATAATAGCGGTGTTTTTATTTCTGCGAAAAATTAGAACATGTTAGGTTTCGAAAAAAACAAACTTTTGCATTGAAATGATTTCGTATGCCTGTCCATTTGTTGAACAAACGAATTTATAAATGCAAGCAAAATCCCTGGATACTGCAATGATCTTGTTGAAGATTTTCACTCCGATGAATCGCTGACAAGTGCATACACTACCGACGAAATGCTTAATATCAGAAAACTTAAAACTACCTTTCCAATATAACATATATTGTTTTTTTTTTTTTTGCTATGACATTGTCAGTGTGTCTTCGACTAAATATCCCTTTTATATAACTTAATAAAGTTTTTTCCTTCAGAACGATAGATTATTGTTTTGACGAAACAACCCGGACGATACCAAGTTTCAATAAGATGTACTTCAAGGCTTGATATACTAACTTGAAATACCAAAAAAAAAAACACGTCTATGTCGCAGAGTTTAATTTTTGAAACAAATAAACAGAAGTGTTTTTAAATTCATCGCTACAATTAATTTGTGAGATAAATTTGATTATGCAAAAGGTTTTACAACACCTTTAAAAGAAACCCAATTATATCAGACGTATGTGAAGGATTAATAAAAAAAAGTATACAATCTTGATCAAACCGTATTGAAAATCATACTATGATCTTGAAGTGTCTGTTTTTTGATATTAGATGTACATTGCAATTTTGTGCTCTCTTCGTGCCTGTTTGTGATTTTTACATTTATATATATTTGTTTTCTTCCACACTATCAAATTACCAAAATTCTTATTTTATAAAGGTGAACCGTGACGTGATTTAATGTAAGCATAATTTTTTTCTCTTCATACAAAGTTTTTTAAAGAAAATCATGTATTGGCAGAATATGATATTTTTGACGGTATATAAGTCAGATAATGCATTATAGATTAAAATAATTTTTTGTCGTAAAACAGACCTTCGGGGTTTCAGGATTGCTCAAAGAAAGACCTCTGTACAGCAGGTCTTTCATTCGTTCAATATTGACACTATTCGGTGTATTAAACGCCAAGACAAATAGTAAAATGTGCAATTTGTATTTTCCGCCTTTCGTTTGAAATTGATTTGTATTTACCTTTGCATCTATAGCTGCGTGGCCACCGTGTTTACTGGAGCACTCAATTACTGTTTCGTGAACTGTTTCTAAAACTGTTGTTATCACAGAAAAACGACATCTTGGTTTCTTAAAAAATGCTTTGATGAATGCATGATGTTTTTCCACAGTCCTGTAAAGTGCGTAACATTATTATCATTTTTGAAAAGAATAAAAAATTTTCAATTTACATGATGTAAGTATTTCTTATTTAGTGCCTCATGCATGCAGACATTATTCAGGTTTAACTGGAAACCACATGATAACGGAACATATTGTTTAAAACAAATGTGTGCCATTCGGCATTCGAACCAAAAGTCGAAGAGAGACGTTAATAGCAAAAAAAGGCGGAAATACAAATATTTTCTCAAGAAAGACTTCACAAAAACATAAGATTGCGGAAAAAGCACCCTAGGTAACGACGGGAGATGAGCACAGGTGTTTAAGAGGGAATGCACTGCCTGTTCCACTATTATGCGCTTTTTAAAAAAAAATTAAAGATTTGAAATATCTTTACCTTATATCTATTCGAGATATTTCAAAAATTCAAACTAGGGTGTTATACGCAGTTTAACTACCGTTTGCAGTTGGTCAGAATATGTATTAAATCCCACTCACAGTATTAATGATGCATACTGAAGAAATTTTAAGAACCTGCCTCGTTTTAATGAAAAGTAGTTAAATCATAAATATTCTAAAAATCTTATACTCATATTCGCCATACATGTACATTATACTAAGAATATACTTTCAAACATACCGCCCTCTCATAGCTTTTTCGAAAGCACTTTCATCAATATTCTTCAAGGTAAATCCACCAGTTTTTATCTTTATTGATATTCCACCAGCTGCAGTTGCATCTGCCTTCAAACTGGGTATTGCTTTAAATATTTCAAGTGAAAATTTCCCACCAACTCCGACAGTCAAGTCCCGTTCTCGGTCATAAGCAGGGATGTGTGTACTTGTTACACCAATTGTATTAATCGGATCTGAATTTCCTGATAAAACGTCTGAAATCTACACAAAAAGTGTGGTAATACAATTTTGTGTTTACGTAGAAAATAGTTGATTAATATATTTTTGATACATATGTATATAATTATTATACATTTGTAACAATTTCACATAGACGTGACGCATGCGCAAGATGGACAGACGTTAAATGTTACTTCACTTGTAAAATGGAATAAAAATGCAAAAAAAAAACTGTTCCAGCAACTCCGGATATGAGATAAGAAGTTTTCCGTCCTGGAAAATGAATCATACATGTGGTAAGCAGCTCTCTCAAATTTACATCGGTCTTGACATTTTGATTTGTGTGTAAATGTTTCGATATAAACGGTGACCAGTATTCATGATTGTTGGTATACTCAAGTAAATATCAATTAGTCAGTCAACGATAACAACGCATACAGAATACATAGAATACACTGATATACAAAAATATAAACAGAAAAATCCCTATGATGAGTATGCAATAAATGTCAAAATCTATCTCAAGTCAAAAACGCAGAAGACACTCGACGGAACCATCGCCGGGAAAAAGTCAAAGCTTCAGCGTAAAACCTTCTAGCAAAAAGCGTATCACTGATAATATAACGAACTTAAAACTGTAGCTATGGCTGACCAAAGTCAACCTCCAGTTTGAAGCCCATCTTCACAAAGTAACCAGTCAATTTTCAAAGATTACGATGTTAAGAGACTAGCACAAGCGGTTAAGGCCATACTGTTCGATGACCTGCGCAATGAATTAAAATTCGACTTACAGATGTATTGCAATAGCCTAACCGTTCCTCTTGTTACCGAAATTGAAAAACTTAAAACAGAAAATATTGAACTGAAAAAATCTATAAACGAGGTAAGCAAACTGAGTTTAAAAGTGGACGACTTAAAACAGCACAGCAGAAAGAGTTGTATTAGAATAAGCGAGGTTCCCTATACCAAGAGTGAAGACACAACAAAAATTCTTTACGATATAGCATCTAAACTTGAAGTTGATTAACAAAGTAACGATATTAGCGTATCCCATCATTTACCAACTGAGGAAGGCCACAAGAAAATCATTGCCTTCTTCACGCACACCAACAAACGTGCTGAATTGTTGAAGGCAACGAAAAATATTCGAAATATCCCAGATTTACATGGTGTCGGAATAAGTCAGGACTTGACCAAGGCACGTAGTAGAGTTGCTTTCTTAGCTCGTGAAGCAGTGAGAAAGGGTAAACTGAAATCTACATCAGTTTGGGACGGAAAGATCTTCTTAACTGCCATAAATGACGATAAACGCATCGTATCTAGCAAATCGGAACTGAAAGACTTCATAAGCGGAAAACAAAGTACAAGACGAACTGATGTAGAACAAAATGTTGGTGATATACCTACCAAACAACATGATGTTTCCTCCACAAATGATGCAATACCAAAGCAGGGCCCAAGCGATGTATCCTCAAATGTTTGGAATAATGCATTGATGTACTTTAAATTAATTAAAACATTAGGCATATTGTACCGTCTTGACTTCATTTACATTCTTTCATTATGTACTTACAAAACGCAATGTATAGCATCAAATTTAGTGACTTAAACGTAATTATATACTGTGTACGTGACATTAATGTATATTTCTGCTATTTAAAGCGCACTCTGTCAAATTTAATGTTTACGTCTATAGATATAAAAAGAATAAATTCAACGTTTCATGATATGTAAATTAAATTCCCATATCATAAGGGTCAATTCTACTTTAAGCTATGTTCGTCAAAAGAGGTTATTTATTTATTTATTTATTTATTCTTTTTTTTTTCACTAGAATAGTTTTTTAAATCCTGGCCGTATCAATTCAATATGTTACCTAATTATAGTAGTTTATTGTCTCTTTGATTACATTTTGTAAGATTGTAAAGCGCTGTCCACTACTTACATTTATATTTTATATTTTAGTTTGCAGTTCTACAAACTGGTCACCTGACCTTATAAAAATCCCACGGTTCAATTAATTAAGTTGTATTGACAATTTTAATATAAATCTCTCTCTGGAGATGTGTATTTGAACTCACTAAACTAAAATTAAGTGTGTAAATATGTTTGTTATTGTTCGTAGTTATTTTGTTATATTTTATGGAAATGTTAATAGTACGGGTGACAAATTTTTATTTATTATTTAATCATGTTAATGTAGAAGATATGACCACTCTGACTCATTGCTACGCTGCTTGGGATACCAAAGTTACCTGATGGGTATTTCCAACGCACTTTACAAAGTCAGAGTGTGACTCTTTTACAGTCGAGCCACAAGAGTTTGGGAAAAAAAGTTGTTTAACTTAGATGATATTGTTTTTGTAAACTTATTTATGCAGCATAGTCTGTGAGCCATACCTGTAATGTTATTATTAATCGTATGTAAATGTGAATTAAAAACAAGACTTAATCTTACAGAAAATACAGCAGTTATTAATCCTGTAAATAGTGAGATATTTTGTCAAAAGGAAGCCAAACACAGTCATGTTCGGATATTAAACTTATTACCAAAGTGTTGTATCATACAGTGTGTATTAATGAACATTGTATTATTTATTATGCTAGTTATATTGATATTACTCTTCCTTTTGTCTGGGGACATAGAAAAAATCCTGGTTCATCATCGCTATTTTCTTCAGATAAATCTGCTCGTCCCGAAAACTCGATACAATTTCGCAGAATTCGTAACAAAACTGTTAATGTAATACGTATTAAGAAGAAAAAATTCTACGACAAATTGATCGAAAAGTTTAGAACGACCATGTCTTCAACCAAGGTTTGTTGGAATTTAGAATACCAAATAACCGACTTAAAATCTCGAAACATGAATATCCCTCCTATCAATTCTAACAACACCGTAATTGATGATGACACACAAAACGCCGAAGCATTCAATGATTATTGTGCGTCACATTCTTATATCGACGATAGCAATAAATTACTGCCTGAGGACGACATCCCTCCAGATAGACGATTAAGTTATATTGTTTTTGAAACGTACGACGTCAAAGACATTCTTCAAAATCTAAATGTAAACAAGGTCTCGGGATGCTATATATAAGCTGTCGTATTATCAAGCTTGTTTGCCGATATTATAGCTAAACCATTACGCGCTATTTTCAACTAAAGTCTTAGAACAAAATTGTTCCCGTCCTTATGGAAGCTAGCGAATGTTATTCCTTGTTTCAAGAATGATGAACCATACTTAGTAATTATCGTCCGATATCTCTTCTCTCAGTGATGAGCAAAGTTTTCGAGCGTTGTGTATATACGCACTTACTATTTAACTTCATACGAGTTTTGATTACTGAGTACCAGTCTGGTTTCATGCCTAACGATTCGACAAGAAATCAACTTTCATATATATGTAACGTACTTAGCAAAGCCCTAGACGAAGGCAAAGATATTAGATTCATATTTTTCGATATTAGTAAAGCCTTCGGCCGTCTGTGACATAAGGGATTGCTCTATAAGTTGCAAAAAATGGGTATTGTTGGCGACCTTCTCCTGTGGCTTAATGATTATTTGTCGAACAGAAAACAGAGGGTTGTAATAAATGGAGTAGAATCTTCCTGGGCTGAGTACCACAGAGTTCAATTCTTGGGCCCTTGTTGTTCCTCGTTTACATCAACGACATTATAAACGTATTAAGCTGTAATTTTAAACTATTCACGGACGATACATGCATTTATGCTGTTGTATATAATCCACTAGTTTCGTCGATTTCTTTAAACAGCAACTTGCGTAAAATAAAAAGCTGGGCGGATAAATGGTTAGTAAACTTTAATCCGTCTAAGACAGAATCCATTGTATTTTCACGGAAAAGCGAACCAGATTATCACCCACCTTTGAATATGAATAGCGTCATAATAAAAAGAGTTCAGACACATAAGCACTTAGGATTAACTTTCTTGAATGATGGTTCATGGAATCATCAAATCGAAAAAATTACAGCAAAGACATTACATCGACTAACTTATTACGTCGCCTACAATTTAGGCTTGACAGAAGATCTCTTGAAAATATATATTTTAGCTGCGTACGCCCATTACTTGAATATGTTGATGTTGTTTGGGATAACTGTCTTAAGTACTTAAAACCCAAGCTTGAACATATAAATTACGATGCCGCACGCATCGTTACTAGTGCAACAAAACTCACCAGTTTAAGCTTACTTTTTAGCAGCATGTGGGTGGGAGACTCTTCAGCATCGAAGAGATAAGCATAAACTCCTACTTTTTCATAATATGGTGAATGGAAAGACCCAATGTTATCTAAATGATATTCTACCAGATCAGTTTAGAAACATACACCAGTATAGAACTCGTCACTCTAATAATTTTCCATCAGTACCCTGTCGAACTACTTATTATATGAATAGTTTCCTTCCATCAACAGTTCGAATTTGGAATAGCCTTCCTCCAGACATAAAAGATGCTTGTTTTATCGCTTCCCTTAAAGCCTTTCTTAAGCCAAGTCATTCTATACCAAATTATTATTATGCAGGCAGTAGACTAGGTCAGATATATCATGCCCGAATCCGTACCAACAGTAGTAGTCTTAGAGATCACTTGTATCAGAAAGATTTGGAATCAGACCCATTTTGTAAATGTAAACAGATAGAAACCTCTGAACACTTCCTACTAAACTGTCCCATTTATCATCGAACTCGTGAAGCCCTTTTTGTTAATCTAGTTGGTACACTTAACATAGATACGTTACTGTATGGTGATCCGAAGATTACAGATATAGACAATAAAAACAACTTTCTTATTGTACAAGACTATATATTGAAAACTAAGAGATTAACAAAATAATTCTTGAAGGCTCAACAACATGTCACCCAATGTTAAGACTTCATTAGATGTTGATTTCCATTACTTTTGTTTTCTTTTTCTTATGTTAATTTATATATATATATACTTTTTCACTTTTTTTGGTCTTTTTAAAAATGTTGTTTGTGACCCTTCTAACAAGAAATTTGTTTTGCATGCACACGT